GCATATCATGCGAAGCCTGTGAGCTTCAATGACACGATCTATCTCATATTGCAAATCTCGCTTCATCGCGATTGGGAGTCGCCAATCAGAGCGAAGACCACCGTGATTAATCCCTGCATCTCTTTTTACGCTGGATGGTTTTCCACATTTGAAAAGATATCGACGCTTGCTTCCAAATTGCGCTTGCGTAGTGGTAGGGGGGAGAGCCTTCTCTGCCAAAATATTATTTTTAAAAGGTCTCTGAACTGGTTCACAGAAGAGCTTTTCAGTGCGAGGAGTCATCTTCGCTCCTTTACGAAGATACGACGGCGCGGGGAAGGTTTCAGTATCATGATCAGGTTTCTGTGTCGGCTTGTCCGATTCCGTTTTCCGACGAGCCTTCCAAAGATGCGTGATCTGCCACACCGACTTATCCAGCGATTCTTTTGCAAGGACCGGGAATTGGCGCCCTATGCGCTTTGATGCGGTAGACCGCACAAAGATGCAGAACCGTTGGCGGTTTACACTTTGCAAGCTCAGTCGAGCGCGTGATGGCTGTAACAGACTGTGAATCTATACCCAGCCAAGAGGTATCTCTGGAAGAGCTCGACGATATTCTCGACCAGGTTGCAGCTTCATCGCCTTTTTCCGCCGATAGCCTTCGACAAAGAGTTACATCAAAGCATGGCCGATTGATGACCGCAGATGCCTTGCTCACGAAAGTGTTCCGAGTCCTGCGAAGCTCCGAGGCCAAATGGACGATTTGGATGCTATCGAAAAATTATAGCCCAGCCTGCGTTCCAGAGACGCTAGTCATGAGCGTCGACAATGTTCAGTTGTACTTAACTATAAGCATTATACACATTGGTCGAAGCGCTCTGTGTCGTGCTCTATTTTTCGCTGTTCGACGCAGTTTTATTTTTGGTGCCGGTACACGCAGGCCTTTGCGTATGTCGACCTCTCAAATATCATTCGTTTGTTTGAGGATTACATTAAGGATAAGCCGCACTGAGAGTTCGACAGCACGGAACCAAGTCTTTAATCACATATCCTCTTTTGGCCAAACTTGCGACGCTAGGGTAGGTCGGTGCTATTGTCACCGTGGTGGGCCATTCTATCGACGTCGATCCCTGGGTTGAGTTCCTCCATACCGTCGTAGTTCGAGAAATATAACTCGCAGCCGCAGCCACGATCTGAGTGGGTATGATGCCTTGCCTTGGGGCTCCTGTCCGGGCCAGGCTGCCCATGACTGATGACCTTTCAATGTGGCAGCCACAATCAACCCTCACACAAGACTTGAGACGAGAGGGTATGGGGGCTCCGCGGGTACCTGCCTCGGGATATCTTGCGGTGTGGCAACCATCACACTGCGAGGGTGTGATGCTCCGCCAGCATCTGGCTTGGCACCCCGCTCTGCCAAGCTCTCTGTGGCCTCCGGTTAGGATGCCTGCACGCTCACAGCCACAGTGAAGCGCACGAGGCGGCTAGATCCGAGTGGGTGTGATTCTTGTATTAGTGCTTTGGCTGCTTGCCGTGTGGCAGTAACAGTGGGTTACAGGGAGCTGTGACTGGAACGGCTGCATTCTGCCTGCCAATCCGACTACCCTGAGCGGTGTCCGCATCGGGTTTCCTCAAGCACCAGTGAGAGCTGAATACACTTTTCGAGCTAAGCCTCCACAGCCAAGACAGTGTGGCATCCATATCTTTTCCCTACACAGCCTATGTCTTACCCGGGTATATTACTGTGATTGGATACTCTTATCTACGACGAAGACACTGAACAGAGATAGTAGCTTCGTGATGGTGAATGGCGCACACAAGCCTCAGGCTACACCTTAGCAGTGCGTTTTGATTGGATTCGTAGGAGCCACGGCATAGATACCCACGCGGACAGGAGCTGCGCCTCTCAATTTCTCGTGATGCGTGTGGTGGTGCTCTGCATAGCTCTCTTACAAACGTCATAATACGGAGGACTAAAGCTCCAAGTAGTGCTGCACAATTATCTGCCCAAGTATAAGACAGCCCGTTGCGTCTTTTCGGCGTGTCTCTGCGACTTTGGCTTCACCTTAAACACCGACAAGCATGCAGAACACATCTTTCCCCTGTGAATCAGTCAAACACTTCTCCGACCTCTTCTCCGCAGACAAGCCCAACGTTACCGACCTGATTGCTTCCTGTCCTCAACAATGCGCCTTAGCCTGGGGCACTGGTAACCCAGATCTCTCGGGCATCGGCGTCTTTATATCCTACAGTCTGCAACTAGCTGTCACTATCATCCTCGGGCCTGGCTACATGCTCTTGCACCCTCTTGCGCTCTCCAATAGCGGATTCCGCCAATACCTAGCCTCGATCCATATCGTAGCTCTCACCACGACAATTCTATTCGCAGCACCAATAGCCATTGCCAGTATCGTTCATCTTGGGGGGCAACCAGCACTCTTCGAAATCATCTTTCTATATTACCTGAACGTGATGGAGTTCCTATGCGGGTTGGCTCTCTTCATCAGCTTCTGGATCGGAAGAGAGGATGAGGGCGCAGAGTACAATACTATCAGCTCCAGAACAACAACAACCATGGTTCTAGGGGGTTTACTACACTGCGGTCTGTTTATCGGCGTCAGTCCCTGGTCAGGCCTGGTTTTGGGAGTGAAATACAGTGTGCTGGAGGAGTTTGTATCTGCATGTAATGCAGCCGAAACAACCGTACCTATACTACCAGTCCAGAACCTACCCTTTTCGCTAGGCCCGGACTCGACGAGAATCAGCTCAAACCGACATCTCAACACATTCCTCTACATTTTAATCGCCGCGGGCTGCCTCGTCGGGTGCTACGTTTGCTTCCTGGCCTTGCGCAAGCTATGCAGGGCACGCTGCGCAAGTCTGCCCCAGACCGTCGAGAACTTAAACAATCGCTTCGGGAATTTCAACTCGTTATGCAAACTGCTAGCAACGGGCCTCGCCGTTGGCATGGTATATTGCTTCGCGAAGATGCATCTGGAAAGACAGCAGCTAGCGAGAGTTGCACGCGATAAGTTCACCGACAACGAGTGGGGGTTCGGACAGGTGGTGGCATTGTTTGCTTGGATACCACTCGGTACAGAGATGTTGGGTCCGCTGATCTACGCGGCGAATGTAGCAGTACAAAATGTATTCGATGGGCTAAAGAAATGGACAAAGGGTGAGGCTACGGTTAGCCACGAACTGGGTCGCGTTTAGGAGTTTGAAGCTACTATCATGAGGCCGTAGTACCGTGACTAACGTGCCCATGCGGCTAAGTTACCTTCTAGATATCTGAATACTTAGAGATATATATTAAAGAGGAGTACATAGCAAGCAGGCCAAGAACTTTGACTTTTGGCCCGGGTGGGCAGGCCAGAAGAAGCCGACAACCCGGAGTATTGGTGACCTTGCGCCTGAAAAGGTACAGCCATTTAAAGGATGTTCCACCCAGTCAATGTGCACAACGAGTGTCTAAACTGGCTGAGACAAGTAGTCTCGCTTGCTGGTACGTATCGAAAACCGTTTCAGCTAGAAGTGTGGCCGCAAGAGCTGCTTTTGTTCGTGACTGTTGGTAGATGGACACGCCAGGCCAACACTGGCTCGTTCTCGACGGCGCTTGAAATCACCGCGTGGCACTTCTCAAGGCAAGCCCGGTGTCTTCCATGATAGAAGTCCCACCCAGGCAAAGTATCCAGACATGGAGTTAGTAATCTGTCCCTGCTTGCTGTCTTGACCTCACAACATGAGTTTGAAATCACTTGCCTAAGATGAAATTGGTCCTCGGTTCCAAGGTCCATCATCACGGTGAGAAGGAAGATTAAGTTTAGAGTGCCGTGATTAACGAAGGGCGAAAGCGATTAGGGTCTTCCGATGTGCTCATGTAGCAAGCAAGTTATGGTGACCTTCATCGTGCAACTCTCGTCGAGAATTCGAAATAGAGGGGACAAGCTGAAATCTATGGTTATTGGCCGGTACCAAATCCCCAAGTCTGGGCCGTGTCTCAGCCACTCCGTTACCTGCATTAATGAGTGGCCATGATTGGGTCCAAGTGTGCTTATTTACACAGCACGAGGGAGCTGAAGTACATGCGTGGCGGGGTGAGTACAATGCGCTCAATGACCATCTCGTGATTGAACGGCCCACCATGACGTGTTTTGTGAGCTGTTCCCAGATCTTGCGTGCAGTCTTCCATCGTACGCCGACTCTCGGCTTCCGCTGGTGCATTCCTTCGCGTAGCGGGAGGTCTCTCCATTGCTCCTCTGTCTTCTTCTTCGCGGTTGTGCCTGCCGTCCAGCTCGCCCACTGTCTCATAGGATCGAGTAGTTGGACTCCGCGTTCTCGCCCCCTTCCCCCTCTCTTTGCCCTCGCAATCAGCCTCGTGATCCTATCCCATGTCTTAGGCCAGACGCCGCCTTCCCCCGTGGCTAGGACAAGATTGATCGGTTTGCAGTGGGCTTCGGCTTCAAGAACATTGACTGGCGTTGAGCGGTATGCACCTGTCACAACGCGCAGACACTTATTCTGCTCCTTGCCTAGCTGGAGGACGATGCCGGAGCCCCTTCCCTGCTTCCCTCCGAGGGTGTTCTCTATCGTTGCAAAGGTAGATGCTGCGTATGTCAATACGCTTCGGATCACCGAGACGTAGACGTCTCTAGCCTTAAGGAGGGACGGTTCCCATGTCTTTGCCGCGATTCGAGTCAGTGCAAACCGCTGTGTCTTTAGTTTAGCCAGTATCTGATTCTTATGGGCGATAAAGTTCAGCCTTCGGTCTAGGTATACCCCTAGGAACCTAGTCTCTTCAGCCGGCTTGATCACGTTGTCGTCTAGGGTCAAGGCCTGGTTGTTGCCGGCCCTTGTCTTGACAAAGTGCATTAGCTGGCTCTTCTGCGGTTCGAATATCATGCCGCGTTCTCTTGCCCAGTCTCTACATATCTCCCATCCCCGTTGTAGAGCGGAGCAGCAATCTTCTGTCCTTTTCCCTACTGCTAGGAGGTTCGTGTCGTCTGCGAACCCTACCGTTCCTACTCCTTCGATATCCCTTGCCTCTGGAAGAGTGGGGTGCTAAAGAGGATGAATAGGAGAGGGGATAGGGGCGAACCCTGTGGCACGCCGGCCGGCACCTTTAATGGCTCCGCCTCCCAGTCGTCAAAGGTCAGAGTCGCTGTTCGGTCCGCCAGGAAGGACGTCACCCATCGGACCACCCATCTCGGCCACCCCTGGTCTTTTAATGTGGCGATCAGCCACCCGTGGTGGACTCGGTCGAACGCGCCCTTGAGGTCCAGCTGCAGCATCGAGCAGCTTAGCCGCTTCTCCCAGGCGGCTCGTACTGTCTCTGTGGCGAACCTGGCCGCTAGCTCTGTTGAACTCCCTGTCCTGTTCCCCATCTGTTCTGGGGGGAGAACGTCTGCGCCTTCTGCTATCTGTGTCATTTTCTTCGTTACGACAGCTTCCACTGCTTTTCCCACGCAGCTTAAGAGGGAGATAGGTCGCCATCCATGGTCGATGCCTCTTACAATCCATGATAAAACAGTGTTAGACGGGCGCTGCCGGCCGACCCGTTGGTGGTATTGGCCGAGCTTTACCTGGGAGCAGCGGCGAAAGGCGAGCTCATTGGACCTGTAGAGTTGCGCGGTTTTGATGTGAGATCACCAACTTGCACATCATATGCGCCGACTTAAGTGAGAATTGTGAGCATCTCTCCGTGGTTAATTGGAAAAGTGAGGCTAGGCATGATTCACTGCTCAACTGGACGGACCTTTATTGTTCTTGCATTGGTTGCTCAAATGTCGGTGAGCTCGCAGCTTGGGCACCGCCGACATTGCCTTACCTTCCTGTGTCTATCGCCCCAGTTTCACTTGAGCCAGACGTACGCAGCATGTTTTGCGATATAGGCGAAGCACGCTGTCCAGGGTTGGTGTATGCACACTCTTGCAATCCTTGTCCATGCTATTCATGTTACCAAGCTTGCCAATAGGTTTTTTGAGGTGTAATTAAAGACGTGAGAACTTCACGCCCGAGACGCACATTCAAATACTGTAAACATGCGCTGACCCTACCTAGGGGCGTTTCTCGGGATGCCATCTCTTCCTGTAAAGCATCGACCGCGATGTCCCACCACAGTTTCCCTTGCTGGCGCACATGACGCCACGGTCGGTGTGGGTAATTCTGTGTGCATGAATGGGTAGTCCAAACATCTCACCGTGCATGCTGCTGCGCTATCTTAGTCGTGCTTATAATGCAGCTGCCCCCCTCACACACACAATATCTGTGCAAACCGCCCATTGCACGCTGCGTTGGATTCACTCACCATCCCATTCTCCCGCTCATAAGTTGACTGCGCATAGTCCGGCCAAGCGGGTACTCACTTCAGGACATCAAAGTTGGTCTCCTTCCCTGCCCTCAGCCGAATCATGGCGGAGGTTTTTGGAGTATTTGCTGGGGCCACTCAACTGGCCACAACGTGCGGCACCTTGATTGAGCTCGCAAAAAAAGTCAAAGAGGCCCCCTCTTCCCTTCAGAATTATCAGCAACAATTCCAGGAGCTTCAAGGCCTCTGTGATAATCGTGCGCGAGCAGGGTGACTGGATCAAGGACTGGCCCATCGTACGACCGAAATTTGTACGAAGTATGAGCGACCATCGTAGGACAGGGATTCGTACGAATCGTGGGTGAGCAGGTTGTGCTAGCCTTTTCCATCAAAGTCAATATATGTCGAGAAGACGTGCTTCATATCCAGGACCTCGAGTGACTGTGCGTGCTGTAGTACGGCTGTCACGATGGGTCCTTTGACGACTCCCATGTCATCGTCATGCTGGCCCACCCGAATACTGCGGAGTCGGCGAAGTGACCTAAGAATGAACGGCAGACAGCATAGGAACTCAGGCTGACACCTTTGAATTGTGATATGTTCGACTGACGATGTGCCCTCGCATGGCGGGATTTCCTTGAGGTAGTGTTCAGCAGCATTCTTCCAGTTCTCATCGGGAGTATCGCCGTCTGGGAAATGATCGTAAGCAGCGAAATCTGTTCTGAGTATGCGAAGCTTGGGCAGCCAGAGCAGGGCTGCTAGCAGGGTCTTGTAACATTCCTGGCACATTTCAGATCCTTTGATGTAGACGCTCTCGAGGTGTCGAAGGGGAGCTTCGGCTTCAGACACGAGACCTGATCTGATATGTCCGGCAGCGGCTAGGAAAGGCCGCATCTGCCAGTTCAGAGAATGCTGATCCTTCGAACAACGCCCGTTGAAGGCCTCCAGCGTTACATGCATTATTCCAGGCAGAAGAAACAGCGTGAGGCAACATGCGGCTGATGCAGCCTGCGGTGAGCGCGGAGGTTCTCTAATCTCTTGAAACAATGGCTGCACAGCGTGCAAGGAAACCTGGGTGGGTTTGCACTATGTTTCCTGCCAGGCATTAACCAGTCCTTTCAGTGTCTGATAGTCTAGACAGGGCTACCCCCTCATTGATGTGTCTTCTCAGATGTTCTGCACGCGAGTAGCTTTTCGGGCAGCGCCAAACTTTGCAATAGAACCGCTTTCGAACGTCTCACTGCTAACTGTGGCGGTGTTATCCTTGAGGAACTCACACAATACCGGCGCTTTGTCTAAAGTAGGTTGTACACTAAGCACCGTGCGAGAGTCATGATCGAGCTATGGTTCGCCTGTCCAACAGTCGGAGGTCAGCCAGGAAACATCATCCCACCAATTCGTGTTCAGACGTATGCCGAACAGCCAAAGCTCCGTCTTAGAGGGGGAAAGGTTTCCGTCGATTTAAGCTATAGAGCTCTTTAAGTCGCAGATACGGAAACTCGAAAGTCGCAGCACGCTCACCCCCGTTTTAACTTACTTACTACATAAGCACATCGGAAGACCCTAGCCGCTTTCGCCCTTATTACTCACGGCACTTCCTGAAAGTGGATAACGGTTTTCTCCGCCAGTAAGTATATCTACTTCTATACACAAGGCCTAAATGTGCTAATTGTAGCCCTCGACCATCAGTGACACCATAGACTGTGGAGGCTTCTAATTACGGCGTGTAATTATACAACAACCGCTATTGGATTAAACCTTTTCGGGAGTATCAAGTCTGTGCGGCCAGTAGATAGTGACAGGCTGCCAAAAAGAAAACGCCTAATTATGCACAATATAACAGCCAGTCGACGCTTTACGAACCACTATAAAACCGAGACTATCAGAGACAAGCCATCTCTCACTCCTCCAGGCTATCAATCATAGCTCCTCCGAAAAAAAAACAAGGGTGCTCAAGGTAACAAGCCCACTAACCCTGGCAAGACCTCCGAAGGTGTGAGCAAAACCGCGAGGCAAACACGCTCTATTAACGCGCAGGCTGCTCTTGGACATCTCGAGGAGGTATACGACAAAGCGGATGATGCGAAGAAGGAAGAGATAGACCAGCAATACACCACTAGCAAGCGCCAAGCCCCTGAAG